AACAACAACAATATTTGATCAAACATTTATTTAACTCACCCCTAATGTGATGGCTTCTCAGTCGCTCCTCACGACACTTAACAACAACAATGGTGGAGTCCTGGTGTGGTGCTGTAGGATAAAGCACTGGACCACAAGGTCGGTTTGAACTACAGATGGTTGGTTCAAACTCACCAGCTGCTCCTTGGAAACCCTACACAGTGTCGCTGTGAGTCAGAACCAACTCCAGGGCACTTAACACCAATAACGTGATAGTTGGAATTGTGGTTGTCTAGGCAGGGCTGGATGCTCCCCACCCTTGATATCCAGGGTCAGTATGAATGGACTTCATGGCACAAAGCCACTGCCACCAACTATCAAGACAAACCCAGCCAGCACCAGATGGGAAGGTGGTACCACCAGAGGGCGCTCCAGAACAAGCCTGGCCTGCTCACTTTTTAAATCTAAGGATATAGAGTGTTTTTTTTTGTTACTGTTTGCTTGGTTTTAAAGTTAATAAAAGCCCTGGTGGTACAGTAATTAAGTACTAGGCTATTAGCTGAAAGGTCAGAGGATCAAATCCACCAGTTGCTATGAGGAAGAAAGATTTGGCATTTTGTTTCTCTAAAGACCCTATAGGGCCATTATGAATCAGATTTGATTAGATGGCAGACAACAACAGTGAATTATGGAATTCTGGTGGTTCAAACCCACCAGCCGCTCTTTGGAGATCCTATACAGTGTCACTAAGAGTCAGAATGAACTTAACAACAACAAGATTGTCATCACGGAGAACGGCCTCAGGAAGCAAGCAGACTGATGTGCTAGGACTGAGGAGTCCTGGGCAGGGCACCCAAGGAGCCAAGTGCATCCCTGAGCGTGCTGAGATTCAAGGACCACTGAGACATTGTCCCCAATGAATGTGGGAAGACAGAAGGAACTGAAGCCTGGGTTGGAGAAGACCCAAGTGTTTCAGCCTAGAAGTACTTTGAAGGCTGTATTGTCACCTCTAGCCTCTGCCAGGGGTTTCAGGTGACCAGCACTTGACAACAAGCCGGACATCCTACTGACATTCATAGAGAATTCTGGAGTCAGCTGGTGGCTGGTGGTGACCCTCCCATGAAGCTCAGTCTGATGCTCAGAACCTACCTCTCCTGGCTGCCTTGGGCACTTGCCCTGGAGGGTTGAGGCTGAAGACAGGGTGGGGGAACCTTTGGAAGGCAGGTCTCTCAGTGTAGACATGTGCAAGTGTGGGGATGACTGCAAGCTAGTGACCCCGGGTGCACCTGACTCGGAGATGGTCTGTTTAAAGTGCACAGTGCTGTTAAAAAATACTTTTTCAAAATTTGGTGGCCAGCATAAATGTACATTCGTTTTATAGTCAAGATTCTTGCTTCTCTTTAAGACTACGCAACCCAGGATTCACTGACTGGAGGTAACATTACGCAAGACCACATCCCTCCTAGCCGGGTCCCCCGACTCTGCCCCATCTGCACCGAGCTGGCTCCTTTGCACATTGGAGTTTCTGGTTCCCACTGCAGAACATTCAGGGGAGTATAGGTCTCCGCTGGCTCTCCAGCTGGCCCTATCAAGGGTACCCCATCCCCAGAAAACACTAGAGGTCTGAGGCCTGTGGAGCCTACCTTCTCCTAACTGCAGCAGCGCTCGAGGCTGAAGGCACTTTTTGCGTTGTGTGGCCTGCCTTGCTCTCTCATTCCTCTTCTTGCATATTAGCAATTTCATGTAGGGAGGAATTGAGAAAGACTGGATAGATGGATGGATGGAGGACAGATTCCCCCCACCCCAACACACACACATGCCCTTTCCTAAAACCTCAACCAAACTTCTGAGTGGGTTCAGCCATCAACCTTTTCAATAGTTGTTGTTGTGTGCCGTGGAGTTGGTTCTGACTCATAGCGACACTGTACAGGGTTTCCGAGGCTGTAAATCTTTACGGGAGCAGAAAGCCTCATCTTTCTCCCGTGGGACAGCTGGTAGTTTCAAACTGCTGACCCTGAGGTTCGCAGCCCGATTCATAACCACTACGCTACCAGAGCTACCTTGAATAGTTGCAGAGCACAAACCATCTGTGCCACCCAGAACCCTTTCCTACCCCAAACACCCAAACCCATTGCTCCCAAGTCTATTCAGACTCATATTAATCTGATAGGACAGAGTAGAACTTTCCTAGAGTTTCTACAACTGTGATCTTTATGGAAGCAAACTGCTGCATCTTTCTACCTCGGAGCGGCTGGTGGGTTCGAACCACCAACCTTGCAGTTAGCAGTGTAGTGTCGAATCAGCTGTGCCACTAGGACTCCTGCCTTTTCCTCAGGACGGGTGACTAGATGGAAAGTCAGAGGAGGTGGGCACTGAAGAGGGAAGGACAGCAGGCTGTGACATGGTGGCTGGAGGTTGGACTTGGGGCTTGGCACACGGCTCAGCCTTAGCCTGGGTCAGCTGTCACATCTGTAAATGTGACCCATCTCCCTTGTAGGATCTTTTAAGGAAAGCAGGAGAGGATGACTTCTTTGAGAGGGAACTGTTCATGCCTGGTGGGACTGAGCTCCCAGGGCAGCAGCGGTGGGCTCCACCCTCTGCTTGGCTCAGAAGCCAGTGGAGAAGGTGGGCAGAGCCTAGAGAGGTGACATCAGAGGAGAGGAAGCTGGCGGGAGGAGGGCAGGTTCCCGGAAAGGGATAAGCCAGCGCCCTTGTGTGACACCCAGCGGAGTGGCGTCTGTGAACCCCTGAGGCTGGTGGCCATTTAGAGGTCACAGTGCCTCTCAGCCAGACTCAGGTGGGGATGGAGAACTGGGGTAGGGAGCGTAAACAAGGCAGAAAGGGCTCTGAGGAGGATGCCAAGCAGGGGAGGAAGTCAGGACCAGCCTTTCCTGTCCTTACCCAGCTGTACCCTCTGCTCCTCTCCAGCAGTGACTATTCTGGATTGAGGACTGCACCTCCCGTCCTTCCGAAGTCTGTGTCTGAAAATCTAGACCCTTTTTCAGATCTCTGGCATCTCTATGCACCCACACATGCAGATTTTCCAAAGCTGTGTGTTCAAAGAATTTCCTAACATCTACAGAAGACGATCGCTATCACAGATGATGGTAACTCCAGGAAATGACCTTCCCAGTACTTAACGTTCACAAATCCCACATCTGCCTGCCCTTCCACACACAGACCTGGGCAGGAATCTGGGGCAGGGGCATGATTCCCCAACAAGGGACTCTGGACCCTTAATGAAGGTCTACAAGGTAGAGGTGGGACTTTCCAGACTGCTCTTGGAGAGAGAGCCTCAAAAACAAGTCAGTTCTCTCAGCAAGAGGACCGTCTTGGTGGAAAGAGCTAACAGCTGGTCCTGGCTACTCAGGGGCTCTGGGTTAAAAATCCACAGGAGAGTGACCACTCACACATAGGCCCACACAGGTGCACATACAAGTATGTGCGTAAACACATGTGTGCATGCCTGGATCAGACTGCCCCGGTGCAACTCCAGCTTCTCCAGTCCCACAGGGAGCATGGTGTGAACTGTCCTGAGTCCCGCTATCTCTGACTGGTGGTCTCACTGCTACCTGCCCCAGCGCAGCCTCTCTGCCTCTCCCTGAGAAACGGGAAGGATGCTGTTACACTTGGGGGTATTGAACTGGGGGTCCAGTGCTGAGATAGAGCTTCTGACCAATGGAGGTCAGGGGGCGGGCATCTGGTTCTGCTTCCTAGGCCCTCCCTGAGATAACAGATTCAGCTCTGAGTTAGGAGGGTGGCAGGAAAAACGTTATCATCATTCATAGAACTGAATCACATGTCAGGGTCATCCTGGGTTGCTGACACCGAGTGGGGATCCCAGCCTTCCTCTCTGCCTGGCCAGGCTCCAAGCAGGTAGCAAGGAGGCATGGAGAGAGATCTGTGAGGGGTCAGATGGCCAAGAACGGACTGTTCTTGAGGTTCTCTCTCCAAGAGCAGTCTGGGAAGTCCCACAAATGGTTTATCCACCTGAAATCACATCAGCAACATCCGATGCCTGAAATGGAATCTCAGGTTTCCTTCCTTTTCTTTTGAAGCACAGAGCCTGCCTGGTAAATTGCAAAAGAGGCCACAGACAGTCAAGCATGCATTGGCGATCCCTACCACCTTTTTGAATAGGAACATCCGATCAGCAAAGTACAAGGGCCCCTGAATATGCACATAAACCCACCAGTAAGTACCAACTACCGTGAGTCAAGTCCATCTCACGGCGATCCGTGTTGGTTACAGCAGACTGTGTCATAAAGTTTCTGATAGCTGAGTTTTTTCAGAGGTCGATTGCCACTACTTTGTCCAGCAGTGTGTCTGGGTGGTCTTGAACCTCCAAACTTTCATTCAACAGTCAAGTACAATAACCGTTGGTACAACCCAAGGACCCCTGAATCCAAGAATTTCAGAGTTATAGATATTAAACAGACCGTGGACAGCCAGAAGACCAAGCAAAAGTACAGTCAGAATTCTCCTGGGAAGCACTTCAAAGTACTTTGTCTCAAGTACATATTATCAGGAGGAACCAGTCCCTGGGAAAGTGGAAGGCTAGCAAGAGAAAGAGGCCCAGTGAGATGGATTGACACAGTGGCAGCAGTAATGGACTTAACATAGCAACAATTGTGAGGTTGGCACAGGACCAGGTAGTGCTTCATCCTGTTAGACATAGGGTCGCTACAAGTCAGAGCCTTCCACTTTGAGTCTACCAGAATCTTGGATAGTCAAAATCTGTGAAGTCAAGAAATCAAGAATCTTGACTGTTGGAAGCCCAGCCTCTTAGAGTCCAGAGCCTAGGGAGGGGGCTCTGTGGCCCAACCCCCAGTTGGTGTAGAATCTTCTCTTCAACCTCGGGATGTGACTCTCTGGCCCCTAGATCCCAGGTGGAAAAGGGCTCCAGGAGGTTGAAGAGAAGCTTCTCTGCAGTGGCTACTTCAAGATCTCTCTTTGCTCCCCAAACCTTTGCCCTGCATCCCTCCTTGGAGCCATTAGAGGGTTCCTCAGGCTCCCCTTCGAATGCCTATTACTTCCTGCTCCCTTGACCCTTCTCCTCTCTAACCATCATCATCCCTGTCCTTAAACCTTCTTTATTCCCCTTTACCACACGGTGTTTAAGGAGCTCTGGTAGTGTAGTGGTTACGAGTCAGGCTGCTAACCTCAAGGTCAGCAGTTTGAAACTACCAGCTAGCCATTCCTCAGGAGAAAGATGAGGCTTTCTGCTCCTGTAAAAACTTACAGCCTCGGAAACTCTATACAGGGTCGCTATGAGTTGCAACCAACTCTACCACATCACCACCACCACCACCACCACCACCACCACCGTCATCACAGTGTTTAGACCTGGAATCTACCCCCATCTTAACTACCCCCTTCCTTGAAGAAGAAGAGCCAGGAATAGAAGGAGTATGGTGTCTGTACTTTGGAGTCCTGGTGTAGCACTGTGTTGGACTGCAAAGTCAGTTTGAACCACAAGGTCAGTTGTTCAAGCTCACCAGTTGCTCCTCGGAAACCCTATACAGGGTCACTATGGACTGGAACTGACTCGACAGCGCTTAACAACAACCATTACTGAATGTTCTGATCTAAGCTTCTCAAGAAGACTCCTGATCAAAAGGGGGAGAAGTGTGGAACAGAATTTCCATTTTCATGGAATTCAGACTTTCTGGAGCCATTGAGGCTGGATGAATCTGAAACTTCTGCCTAGAGATAATCCTTAACCCTGACACTGTAAACCAAAACATTCCCTGAAATCATCTTTAAACTTCAGTCTAGGGTAACTACAGAATGTCTGGTGTGAGCAATGTGCTCTTTTAAAGAACTTGCTCTATGGGAGCGAACAGGCACAGCTCCTGGGAAGGTTATGTAGGAGGAAGCTGAGGGTAAAGTGACCAGTTGGAAGAATAGGGGAGAATGGCTGCACAAATTGAAGAATGCAATCGATGTTACTGCATTGTACAGACAGAGATGGTGAATACGTGTGCTTTGCTGTGTATATTTTCAACAACAGAACAACAACATATATAGAGAGAGTCCTGTGGACTGAAAGGTCAGTTTGAACCACAAGGTCGACAGTTCAAATTCACCAGCTGCTCCTCAAAAACCCTATACAGGGTCGCTATGAGTTGGGACTGATTCAACAACACTTAACAATGACAATATGTATATTTATGTATATGTGTATATACATATATATGTGTGTGTGTGTGTGTGTATATATACACTTAGCATTTTAGGAGCCATGTTGGCAAAGCAGTTAGGCTTCTGACTACTAACTGAAAGGTCAGTGGTTCAAACCCACCAACTGCTCCACAGGATCAAAGACCTGGCAATATGCTCCTGCAAAGATCACAGCTTAGAAAACCCTGAAGTTCTACTGCGTCCTGTAGGTTTGCTCTGAGTTGGAATTGAGTTGACAGCACACAGCCTTAACATTAGTGCTTCTCTCCCCAGACAAATATCTCCAAAGCCTATCTGCTCTGTCTCCCTCACCTTACCTCCCTGCCCGCCCACTCCTTTGACCTCCTGACCCGACCCAATCATGGTCCACCCCGGGATGCACTTCACTGTGCCCGGGCTGGGTCTCCAGCTACCTCCCAGGGGACTCATGTCTTCCTCAGAGGCTTCCTTACCAGAGGCTCAAGGGCAGGGACAGATGGCGGGGTGTCTGCCCAGGAGGGTATGGAGGGAAAGGGCCATTCCACTGCAGAAGGATCGTGACCATGAAAAATGGAGCCTGCTTCCTGGCTAAGCAACTCGAGTCCACTTGCTCTTGGCCAACAGTGGGCCACTAAGAGAGGGAAGACCAGCCTTCAGTTTTGCCTTCCTGGGCTTGGGAGCACTTGAAGCCAAGAGGGCGGGCCCCTTGACTCAGGAGCAGCTTATTTAAGGGTTCTGAGTGTCAGACATTGTGGCTCTAGTACCCCTGGGAAGCAGCTACATCTCCAAGTATCTAAGGACCAAATGTGTACCTGAGGCTGTTGGAGCAAGAAGAGGCAGACTGGGCTCCAGGTGGGGACCAGGACAGAGACAGAATTGGGGTGGGGAGCAGTAGGTCTGCTGTGGCCCCTCTAAGCTTCAGGGTTTATGCTCTGTGGGAGAGGGGATGAGGCCCAGGGAAGGAGAGGAGGGATTCGGGGTACCTTCTGTTCTGGATTGTCCACTGGCCGTGAGTACATGGAAGGTCGTATTTCTGCCTCCGCAGCGCGTAGGCGTCAAACCAGAGTGCTAAGCCGTAGTCCAGAGAAGGAACCTGAGAGAGAGGAGCCATGTCAGGGCTGAGGTGTGGTCAGCTACTAGGGAAACAGGGTACAAGAGGCCCCTGGGGTCCTCTGGGCACTGGGCAGGCAGGCATGGGGCTCACCGTGAGGTGCCAGGAGCAGTGGGTGCTGGGTGAGTAATAGCTGGGGAAGTACGGTGTGCTGAGGACACCCTGCAGGTCCAGCCGGCCCTCCAGAGTCAGGTTCACCTGGCAGGCTGGGCCCGGAGAGCAGCCGTTACTCAGGGTCTCTTCTCATCAGGTGCAGCCCTGTCCCTGCCACCCCTACCCTCCAGCCCTGCCCTTACCCCGCCACCCCCTTCACTGCCCCTGCCTCCCCCGCCCCTGCCACCACAGTACATCGTAGTAGCTGAGTGTGACTATGGGACTCGAGCCAGTCACCTGACTTCTCTGGGCCTCAGTTGCTTCATCTGTAAAATGGAGACAATAATAGTATATGGCTCTTAGGGTACTTGAGTGGATTGTTGTTGTTGTTAAGTGCCGTCGAGTCCACTCCGACCCATAGCGACCTTGTATAGGGTTTCCGAGGAGCAACTAGTGAACTTGAACCACCAACTTTGCAGTTCAAATGGCTTTGCAGTCTGACGCATTAACCCACAGCGCCACACCAGGACTTGAGCGGATTGGTAGTGGCTGTGTGCCGTGGAGTCGGTTCTGACTCATAGCAACCCTGTACAGGGTTTCCGAGGCTGTAAATCTTTATGGGAGCAAAATGCCTCATCTTTCTCCTGTGGAAACAGCTGGTAGTTTCAAACTGCTGACCTTGGAGTTCTCAGCCTGATTCGTAACCACTATGCTACCAGAGCTCCTTTTTGAGCAGATTAGAAAGACCTAGAATGCTCAAACTGCCTGCTCAGCATATGCTGGCAGACTCGCTGTGCGACACTCAACAGTTTCACAGTTTTCAAACTGCCAGAGCCTCAGTTCAGGGGAGGCTCATCCCCCTGTCCAAAGCTGAGGGCCAGAGAAGTGGAGCGACATGTGTAAGTCAGACAGTGAGAGGACGAGGGACTCAGCTGCCCTGGCCACCTGCCTCTGCCCAGCCTGTGCCAGAGGCTCCCAATGACCAGTTCTGGCACAGAGGTTGCCCAGGACAGGAAGGGGGAGTGAGCAGGAAGGAACAGTGGGAGGTAGGAGGAGTGGGGGATGGGGGATGAAGAGAGAGCCCAGGGGGTTTAGAGCAGAGGGGCTTCCAGAACCTTCTCCTTCTGCAGCCACTGCCCCTCAGGGGCCTCCTCCCTTCCCCAGGACCTCAGCCCCTCACCCTGGAAGGTCACCGACTGTGCAGAGAGTGAGAAGGGGTCATAGTAACTGTGCAGGCCCTTCTTCCAGACCACAGCCATGACGGCGCCAGACGCCAGCACCTCCACCACCGGCTCCTGGCGGCTGCAGCCATAGACCCTGCAGAACAGAGAAGGTGTACACCTGGGCTCTGGGCTCACAGGCAGGTCTCGTCTCTATCAGCCCTAGGGGACAACAGTAGTGCCCCTCTCAGAGAGTAATGCCCCCTAGGATTACCCCCTTAGGAGTAGTGCCCCAGGTCTCAGGGGTGGTGCCCCCAGTTCTGCCCCTCTCAGTGAATAACGCCCCCAGTTCTGCCCCTCTCAGGGGTGGCATCAAGATTCTCTCCACCCCCACCCCACCCCTGCAGGTCCCTGACAGAACCCCCAGAGTCCTTCTAATGGAATAAGCCAATTCACAGGCGGTTCATGGCCCTGTCTCCCCAGAGAGAACAAGCCAACACCTTGGTGAGAGGTAGTGGGTCACTGCTGGAGGTGCTTGGGGGTTCCTTAGATCCTTCAGATACCCAGAAACCTGCCCCACTCGGGCACCTGTCACAGCAAAGGAGTGAAGTGAATCCCTCAGGGGTCTTCTGAGGCTGGTCCAGGTCTTCTTGCCCCATCCCTCCTGCCCCGTCAACATGGCTTTCAGGCAGGACCTAATTCCTGGGCTCCTTTGTCCTGGTTGTACCTCTGCTGGCTTGTTCATCCTGCGTCTCCTTCCAGCCCCCTCATATCCACATTCTCCCCAATCATCCTCCTTAGAGAAGGGACATGAGCTGTTAGGGCCCATTAAGTGGGGACTTCAGCTCTGACTGGGGTTTTAGCTTACTGTATTGTAGCCAGGACCTTATTGCAAATAACACATCTCCCAGTTCCCTGTGTGTGGAACACTTGCTCTACTTCCCATCATCACCAAATGCCAGCAGCTCTAAGGTGCAGACTTGGGAGCCCAGTTTTTGTCTGACCTCGCCATTCTAGATCTTCTCTGAGGGTTAGAGGGCAGGAAGGGCAGTCCTGGGTCCCTGAGTGAGTAGAGGCTAGCAGCAGTCTGAGGTCACTGGGAGAAGCCCCAGGGGAAGCCCGTAAGTGTCCCCGCCCTCCCAGACCTGGAAATCAGATGGTATCAGGGTTCTCTGCACTTCCCAGAGCCCTCCGGGAACCCAGCCCACACACTGCCCAGACTTGGGTCACCAGGAAGCTCTGGGGGCGGGGCAGGGCAGGAGCCTTCACCCAGATTGACTTCAAGGACTGATACTGATCTTGATCTGAACTTACAGTTCCCCGCAGAAACTGGGCTGTCCATCACAGCAGGACAGGGGAGGCACCAGTCCAGAGCCTGGTACCAAATGCTACAGAACCTGTAAGCTCAACACTCCTTTCCTGGACCTACGGGGAGGTGACCAGGCTCCTGAGTCCCAAGGCTAATTCCCATCCCATCCTGTCCACCTGCTTTCCAACCCTGGTCACTGCTGCACTCTGCCACCAGATCCCATTTCTAAAGACCCTGTCCTATCCCCAAGAACTTTCAGTAGCTCCCACTTATCATGTATTAAAGTCCAGATTGGTCCTGTACTCAATGAATGCCCCTTGTAACGCAGCCCCACCTAGATTGTTGTTAAATGTCAGTAGAGTCGATTCCGACTCATAGGGTTTCTGAGGAGTGGCTGGTGAGTTTGAACTGCCCATCTTGGGATTTGAACAACCAGTGCTTATCCTACAGTTGTTGTTGTTAAGTGCCTTCAAGTCGGTTCCGACCCACAGCGACCCTGTACAGGATTTCCGAGGGTGTAAATCCTTACGGGAGTAGAAAGCCTCATCTTTCTCCCGCGGAGCGACTGGTAGTTTCAAACCGCTGACCTGAAGGTTCGCAGCCTGATTCATAACCACTACGCTACCAGAGCTCCTTTACAGTGTCATGCCTAAATTGTTGTGGCTAAGTGCCATTAGGTGGATTCCTACCCATAACCAAGGAGCGGCTGGTGGGTTTGAACCACCAACCTTGCATTTTGCCATCCAGTGCTGATTCAACAGTGCCACAGCAGGAGTCCACACCTAGATTCGTACAAGGATAATAACACTGGCCACTATTTACTGGGTGTCCACTCTGTGAGGGTCTTGGCACAGGTAGTCTGATTTTTTTTAAGTCTCATAATAGTCCTACAAGATAAACGTGACTGTACACTACAGGGGAGGAGACTGAGGTTCAGGGAGGCATAGTGACTTGCTTTGGGGTCCACCCGAGGAAGAAGCAGAGTGGGGGTTGGAAATCAGGATTGCCAGCTTCCATAAACCACATGGCCTCTCGGAGCTGGCCTTGGGTATCTTCTAGCCCAAGTGCTTTGTTACAGTGGGGAAACCGAGGCTCGGGAAAGTCCTGGGGCAGCCATTCCCAGCCTGCTCTCTCTGGAAGTTAGTCACACTGTGTCCCAGATACTCAGGTTCAAGGTTACGCAGGTTCAAGGTTACACAGCTTCTTCTTTCAGAATGCTGTCTGACATTTGACCCCACATGACCCACCTCCTTCCCAGGCTCTACCACCTCCCCCACTTCCCTGAGACTCACGAAGTGATAAGCCTCTTCTCCAGGGGTCCAGCCACGTCGTACATGGCCAGCCGGTCCCGACACTCAGCCAGGGTCCACTCGAGCCGGAGTTTGAGCATGAGATCCTCCGGACCCTGTAGGTGCCACAGGCAACTGGAGGCCACGTTGTCCGGCCCCTTCAGCCGGAGCACCTGACCTTGGCCCACGTAGCTGTAGCGGTAGCAGCCTGGAGAGGCAGGAGGGACAGGGCTCCTGATCCCTGTTAGCCAGGAGAGAGGCCCTGGGGAGCCAAGTCCTGCAGGGGCCTCAGCCGGCCAGGGCAGGGGCAGGGACCAGACCCTGTAGCTTCCCAGGTCCCGTCTCCTCATTCATGAATTCACCAGTCCAGCCATTCATTCACTTAACACACACTCCAAGTCCTCCATGCCAGGCGAGTGTCAAGATAAAGGTCCCACTGCTGCTGATAGATGCCGTCCCAGCACAGGCCAGGAGACAGATACAGAAACAGGTAACAGTGGGTCAGGAAGTAGAAAGTAAGGCCTCCAAGCTGGCCTGTGAAGCAGGGAATTCCTATGATCACAGCTGTGGTAAAGGCAGAGACCAGGCCAAGCAGGCAAACGGAGGAGTCTAAAAGCAGAATCTATGACAAAGGATGATGCTAGGGAAGGAGGCCAGGCTGTCTTGCACAAGAGAGCTGCTGCTTTATCCTGAAGTACTGGGAAGACCTGGAAGGTTAGGCAGGGCTGGGCCTGGTCTACTTCGGATTACAGAGACTCCTGGGAGATCACGTGGGGCAGCTGGTGCAATAAGCAAGAAGGGCTGAGGGTTTCACCTCAGGTTGAATTGTGTCTCCCCAAATATACACCAAAATCCTAACTCGTAGCCTGCAAGGATAGTTTGAACCACAGGTTGGCAGTTCAAACCCACCAGCTGCTCCTCATAAACCCTATACATGGTGGCTATGGGTTGGAACCAGTGACACTTAACAAATCCCTATAAACATGGTCCTGTTTGGAAACAATGATGCTAATGAGACTGCAATCTGTAGGATTAGGTTGTAATTTGAGTTAATTGCTTTTGAGATATAAGAGATTAAACAGGCAAGCAGAGCTCAGAGGAACCTACTACCATAGGGAAAGAAGACCCTGAGTGTGCTTTGGATCTGGGGTCCCTGAAATGGGAAAATCCTAGAATCAGGCAAAAAATTGATGCTAAGACACATGCAAATCTCCAAGGAATGCGGGGTCTACAGAGACTGAAAAGAGATGACCTTTTTCTGAATTTGAACTTCTAGCCTCCCACATTAACATGCTTTGTAAAGTGGAGGGTCAGTGATAAAGTGTAAGACCTCCAATGAGATGGACTGGCACAGTGGTGGCAATAATGGGCTCAAACGTTACAATTGTGAGGCTGGTGCAGGGCGGGCAATGTTTCATTCTGTTGTGCCTACAGAGTCGCTATGAGTCGGAACCAACCCGATGACATCTTACAACAGCCTTTCCCACACAGTGAGAGAGTAAACTTCTGTTGGGTGAAGCCATTCACTTGTGGTATTTCTGTTACAGAAGCACTAGAGAGCTAAGATTCATTCATTCATTCAAAAGCTATTAGGCACGCACTATACGATTGATCCAGGCCCTGGACCAGAAGTGAACAAACAGATTTCCTCTCCTGTGGAAAAGATGTGTCCTTGTCATAAACGTGTGAAGCCAGGAGATTGGATGATCTACCAGGAAGGGACAGAGATGTGAGAATGAATCCCGGACCTGGGAAGCAGCCTGGTGTGATCATGTTGTGAAGTGCTGAAGTGCTGGGGTGACCCTGAGCTGTGTCAGACAAGCACAATCATAATCCCTGTCCTACCTGCTTCTGTGAGGAGTTCTGAGGACCAAGAAGAGAATGGAGGTGCACCTGCTTTGCTCTGGGTCACTACCGTGTGCTCAGCTGCCTCTCCCTGCCCTCTGGCCATCCTGACTTCAAGGGGAAGCTGACCCCCAGGGAGGGACCTCTGACTCTTGCTTTAGGAAGGGACAGGGCCCCTGATATCTGCCTGGAACAGTACCTGACCATTCCTAGGTGTTTGTATTGTTTTACTCTTACTCCATGCTGATGCTTTGATTTCGCCATTTTAATGATTACTTTCAAAAAATAAGGAAAGTATTTTCTTGTTGAAAATACACAGGGCACGACCCACACCAAGTCAGCAGTTTCTACCCATATAATTCAGTGCCACTGACTTCATTCTTAGAGTTCTGCAATCCTTCTCACCCTCCTCTTCTGAGTGACTCTTTGCTTAGGAACATAAACCCACTGTCTCCACCTCTCTCAAGTTGCTGTTGTCAGTTTGATCCCAGATAGGTACTTCTTAAAAAGAGCTTCAATGCTCACATAGTCCGCAAAGTCAATGTTCTATATCCTACTCTGATGATTAGCAACTGGGATCTTCAAAGTTCATGAGTGGCCATCTCAAATGCAACGATTGGTCTCTTCCTGTCTGGACAAAAGAAGAGTGATGAAAAATGAAGATATTGTTGTTGTTGTTAGTTGTCAGTTGTCATTAAGTTGGCACAGATGCACAACAGAACGAAACACTGCCCAGTCCTGCAGCATCCTCAAAATCATTGCTATGCTATGTCCACTGTAGCTACTGTGGCAGTCCATCTCATTGGGAGTCTTCCTCTTTTTAGCTGACCCTCCACTTTATCAAGCATAATGTCCTTCTCCAGAGACCGATCCCTCCTGATAATACGTCCAAAGTATGAGAGAGGAAGTCTCGTCATCCTGGCTTCTAATTTAAAATGGAAGATGCCTGGAAACAATGAATTCACTAGACTAATGGACTATATGAACCTCAGTCTCCAGGACCATGAGACCAGAAGAACTAGTTGGTTCTCAGCTGTCACTACCAATACCAACTACTCTGAAAAGGATCACATTAGAAGGTTCTGGAAAGAGTGAGAGAAAATATGGAACTAAACTCAAAATCGTAGAAAAGATCAGGCTTACTGGTCAGATGGAGACTAATGGAGCCCGGAGACGATGGCCCTTGGTCACCCTTCAGGTCTGTAACTAAACTTAACTCCTTGGCTCAATGTTCAGCCAAACAATAGATAGGTCAATAGGGCAGATAGCACTAGTGAGGTATGCACACCAGAGATTGGTCAACCACTTGAGATCAAAAGGGCAGCATTTACCTAAGGACACAACTTAGAAGCTGGGGGAAAGAAGGAGGAATGGAAATGAGAAACACAGGGAGGAAGTGGCATATGTGATGCCACACTGAGGGGATTACAATGGAGATGAAACAAAGTCCATGATTGGTTGAATGTAAAACGGATCATCTGCTTGGTAAACCTTCACTCAATTTACAATAAAAAAGTAACTTTTAAAAAAGACCTTATTATGCTGAAGGCAGAAGATTTTTTGTTTTGTTTTGTTTTTTACTAGTTACTTTCAATTACAGTTTGGCTTTTTGACAATTTCAGGGGATCTTTTTGGCTTAAGTTTTAAAGATGATCTCAGGGCAATAGTTGTTGTTGTTGTTGTTGT